CTTCAATTTGATATATAGCCCGACGTTTGGGGTCAAGTATTTCTGCTCATAACTCAGAAAAACTATTTTGGCTTCATCAAATCATAGGCCTTCATCATAGCAGTTAGCCTTCCAGTTTATTTATAGTTCAATGGCTCTACTACAGAGGCTCTACTATAAACTGGATACTATAAACTGTCTGTCTGTCTTCTCCATCATCTACGTACCCGTCTTTTCCATCATCTATCCGTCTTCTACAACATCTATCCGTCTTCTCCATCATCTACCGCAGGGCAAACTCATATTTTGGGGGGCCAAGATAGAATTTTTAAAAAGGTACTGCTATTTGCCCATGCCTTTGTCACAGGACTTTCGCCCCCCTCCCTAGGAATATCGCCCCCCTTTTAGGCTCCCCCCCCTATATGCGATGTGGTTTATTCAAATAATTTCGTGATACTTTTATCTTATTAGTGTCTTACACGTTTGAGAATTTAACTTTGCAAAACTAAAGCTTTTTTTGTCTTTTTTGAAACGTATTATTGGAGTATTGGCATGTTTTACCACTCAGAGATTTGCAAACTAATATTGAAACTGTAAAAAACAATTTCACGTATACGCGCATTCACTAATGAGTAATGACAACTTATAAGCCATACATTTTCCGATAACGACAAAACGCTTGTGTAGCCTTTAGTCGCCCTCAGTGACGAATAATTTTTTTTTGAGGGAGGCAAAATTGGGGGGAGGGCAGAAAATAATTTGGGGGGAACATTTGCCACTGTCTACCCGTCTTCTCTAACATCTATCCGTCTTCTCCAAAATCTGTCCGTCTTCTACAACATCTACCTATCAAGCCTGGTCCTGGAAAGGTTTTTGCTTCGTTGCATGATTAGCTTGCGCGCAGTTCCATGACTTTACTCAGGCTATTCATTGATTGGCTGACTAGTTTATTAATCAAAATCAGCGTGAACCAAATTAGGCCAAAGCTAGGTCTACTATACTACACTTGCAGTTGTAAAGGCGGAGGTTTCAATAAAAAACGAGATGCAGGCATTAATTATGGCGATATAGTTTGAAATTAACGTATTTTCTGACCAAAACGAAGAAAATCGATGGATTTAATATATTGAATAATGAGCATATTTTTATGAAAACTGAGTAAGCACTGCTTTTTATGCACTTCTTTCAATGCACACACAACGATAATGATTCAAACTTGAATTACCATTATTTAACTCATTTCTGTTTTACACTACGACCGAAAAAAACAAATAGAACTTGTTACACCTGATGAATAATTACAGTATGCCCTATAATATAAATTATAAAAATTTCAATACATACATGTAAGTACAAATACTACAATAAGGTGGATTTTATACTTTATATATTTATAAATTACAACAGTCTGTTCAATAAATTAAGAAAACTATATTAATTGAAGTGGTGTCGTTCATGCAAACTTATTAATAATATCTTGCCGGACACTTGAAATGGTACTGTAAAACGCTATTCTTCGCAACGCTTCGTGGCTAATAATGATAGACACCATACACTGAAGCCACACAAAAGAAAGTATCCTGCAAATATACGAAAGAAAACACTCAGTTTTCAATTATACAACAGTTTTGTTAATATTTGAAGCATACACGACCACACCAAATGGTTCAGTATACAAATAGGAAGAAAACGAAGTTTTGATGCCTTTAAAAGAGAAATTTCACCAATTTCAATGACTGCATTGTGTAAACAATTTCTCGCTTCTTTCACGAGATATTCAACTTGGTTGACATTCAAATATTCCATTTGTGACGTGATATGTAGTGGGATGTACGTGACATATATACAGTAAAACGAACTTTTTGCTTTGACATTTTCACATAAAACAGGTACACTTCTTAATAATTTATGTAAAGCGGTCCAAATCTTAGCCTAACAGACTCTTATAATCTGACTAGTTCCTTACGACCGAAAATGCCCTATGTATTCTGACTCTTATAATCTGACTAGTTCCTTACACTGTATATATATGGAATTTACAATTCACACTAAAGTGGAACATCTTACGCAAGCCAACAAATTTCTACAGGATATGTTTTCGGCAATTTTTACAGTGTAACATAGTTTCTCGGTGTTTTACAATGTAGTCATAAATCTGGTGTCAAATTTCATTGCTTTAATGCTTCAGCTTATGTATTATCCAGATAATTATATAACATACGCCACAATTTATAAGACAAAATCTAAAGATAAATTATTAAAAAATTTTACAATTTGTTTCTTTCCTTCTTTTGAAATGCTTTAGAAAGGCAACGAAACACTCAAGCATGCAGAAGAATGCTCTTCTCAAAAGCTATTCCCCCCTCTCCATTTTTTTCATTTCTTGTTATAATAACAACTTTTAATAAATATTGAAAAAACCATGTCAGGCCGAATGAAATACAATGGTTTGAATCAAAGTACAGTAATATTATGTTGGTTAAAATAGTCTGGTCAGTGGTGCTTATTAAACATCTAATTTTGGAGGAAAATGTGAAAAGGTACAAATCTAATTATAAACACATAGTGACAGACGAGTGCAAATGCATCATCCGTGGATGCTTTCTATGTTGGCAACATGAATGAATTGAGAATGACAAACATCAACGATAAGGGTTTAGGCTAACAAACATACAGTACAGATTGTCCTGCTGCCAGGATAATCTCTCCCATCATAAATCCAACATCATCATCATCTATATCATCATCATCATCAACAATAGCTTCTTACCGTCATAAATATATCTTGCGCATAATTATCCGTATCTGAGTCCCAAAGACATCGACAAGCCACTCTAGTAGAGAAATGAGAGTAATCATATTCAAATTGGACAGTCAAGTACATTTTGGATGCAAACATTTATTAATTTTACTCACTTCACTCCTTCCCCTCGCTGCTCTCCAATAACAACTTGCACCAATATCTTGTATCTATCTAGATTAAGCCCTGCAGAAAATATTTATATTGCGTTTGGTTTTACTGAAACATGTGTATTACAGGTGATATACAATAGATTTCAATACAATAGGTAATCCGTAACAATCTAGGCACGACGATCTCATGGACAACTGGTTCATGCATATACTGTATACATACTGTACTGCAATAGTTGAAAAGCCAACTATTTATAAGCTAGATGCTTGCATGTTCAAAGTTTGATGTCATATATATAATTAATCGAAATTGTTCATTCTTTCGACACACGCACCATATGGTTCAATGCTGGATCGTTTTAACGTTGGATATGAAAAGCCTCTTTAACTATTAGCAATAATGACCAATCGTTAGATCGATCAATTAATTTACAATTATTATGAAATTCATCACAATTATGTACTATATGATTAAAAATTTCTGACTTAGGGACGGACCATTAGAAAAGTGAAGGGGGTATTTTTTTCATGTTTGCAATTTTTTCAGATTGTCAATTGTGTATGCAATTTGTTTATGGATATATGTTAATTACCTAATTTACCTTACATGCATATTTTTTTACCCAATAGATATAATAAACTTGTTTTCTTGAAAATTTTTTTCTTACACATTACAAGACGTTCTAGCAATAATTGCTTTAAAACCAGCAAGATGCATGATAGTCATAAAAAATTATAAATACCAACACAGGTATCAAGGAATACCTAACCTACAATCAGGCCTATAAAAAGAAATAGGCCTCATACAAACCTTAACAAACGTCCATGCCTTAATTACAACTGTATTTCAGTTGTGAATCTGTCAATTGATTGGTTAGTGCCAGGGCCGTTGCTAGGGGGGGGGGGGGCTGTGAGGTTAGATTTACCTGAATTTTTCCAACTTAATGTTAGTTTACCTGATTTTGAGAGGTGCCACCATGGTTGGTGCCAAGCAAAATGTTTTGAATATTTGAAGTCTCTACACTGTCGGAAATGGCATTTTAGAGTCTTTCCTATCCAATATTTCAATATTTTAGTATTGCCTAACAATTGACTTCAAGATAAGTATTGTTACTTACAGTTAATGTGATTATGAAAATTGAGAAAATTTTTGAAATTTGATGTCTCCAGATCGTCAGAATTACTCAGAAAGGGACCATATTTGGTCATGTCCCCCCCTGTCTCGATGCCTCTCTACGTCTTTAAATAGTTGGTCAATTGTTAACTTTAATTCTGATTCATAGCATATAGAGTTCACTTTTTTATGCCCTGAGAATTACCTGAATTTGCCCTTTAAATCTACTGGAAATCGACCTGAAATTGCTCGTGAGTAATTATTGGGGGGGGGGGGGTTGCACCCACCACACCCGTGGTAACTACGGCCCTGGTTGGTGCTAATTAGATTATACTATTGTGATGAATAATGATATATTTTATAGTAGTTTTAACTGTAATCTCAAGTCACAACTATAATTAGATTGTTGTTGTTGTTGTTGTTGTTGTTGTTGTTGTTGTTGTTGTTGTTGTTGTTGTTGCGTGAAACATAAATTTCTCCTGCAACATTTTGATTGGATACTAAATATACAGTAAGCTTTGCTGTGGGTGGAGAGCTATTGGATAAGGTTTGTGTTGTTGTTTTGTTTGCAATTTTTTTGAGACGTTTCTATCGCATGTTTTTTATTTTTACCTCTTATGCTGGTATGCATTTTTTCTGTCCCCCCCCTTCACTTTTCTAATGGTCCGTCCCTTATCAGTGAGCGTGTTCCTTGATGCATATATAGAGACATCTGTTTGTCTCGTCCATCTTGCTAATTTACTAGATTGTAATTATCCTACAAGTTTGGTAGATTTAATTTATAGTTAGTAATTGTAAAGTAATTGATCAATTTAATGATTGGTCATTATTATTATTTAATTAAAGAGGCTTAATTTTCATATCCTTCCAGTGTGGAAAGTTTGTATTGTGTGGCGGATATCTCTAGATCTGGTGCACAATTTTGATGCTTTCTATACATTTACTATTAAATTTTCGAAATCTCTTTTCCAGTCTGGATATCCATTGTTTTAATCCAGCATTGAACCATGGTATGCATGCATCGAAAGAATTAACAATTTTCCGTTAGTTTAATTATATATATATGACGTTATCAAACTTTGAACGTGCAAGCATCTAGCTTATAAATAGTTGGCTTTTCAAAATACATGGCATTCTTCTTAAGATGACATTCTAGTAAAAATGTACGTAAAGACTGAAATTAATGCTTACAATTTTTGGAGTGTCTATAATTTGTGTGTTATTAACATACTGTACTGACCTTTCACCCTTGTTTTTATAGCTTCGGATAGAGTTTTTGACCATGTGGTACATTCTTCACTGTTGTATTGTTTACCACTCAGTTCTTCATTGAGTACATCATGGATAAGAGATTTTATTGTTACTGGACGGAATCTAATACACCATGCACAAAGAATGAACATTATAGACAAAGATATTAATTAGACATAATCACAATATCGGCAACAATACTGTTATATTAAATGTTGTGGATAGATCACATGTTCGACAACTACTATTAAAATTTATATTATTAATAACAATGTACGTAGTGCCAGGATACTCGCCACAGTGTCCCCAATTATGGCGAGTCCTTAATAATTACATCTAAATCATGTTAATATTAATATTGAATAATCTTATAAATAACTGACAAGTGACAATACGCATAACAAAACATGACATACAACAAAACATAACATTCATGCAACTAGCGACATCTTAAAACACCGTCCAGGGTCCTCGCCCTTCTAATTACATAGAATTGCTATAAAGGTGAAAAACAAAATGACCAATTTTGAACATTCGTTTTCTTCACTTCGCTTATACACAAAACACTTTTATGCAGATATTTAATTTACAAATAAAAATATTAAGTTGAACATTGCTTATTTATAATATAATTCTGGGTGGAATAATACGTACCACAGGAAGTTTCCTTAGAGCACTTTTTCCTAAAGTAACTTTTCCTTGAAGTTGCTTAGTAAAAAAGTACTTTTCTGTAAAGTACTGTGAAGTACGTTTTCAAATGTCAATATCAAAGTATCAAACTTACTTTTCCTTGAAATTTGGACGAATTTTATAGCTGTTTTCTACCTCCTCGGACATTTCACTTTAATGAAAATTAATTATACAAACTGAAGAAAGATTATAGATATTATGAAAACTGCATTCACTGTATACAAAGCGGAACTTCCGCGATTTCTTATTCAAATCGTCTAAATTGTCACCGCCATATTGTTTTTACTGATGCCTCGATAAGCTCGATTAGTTTCTATGGAAACGTGAAACGGGTGTATTTGCCCGCTTCACCTAAGGCAATTACGAATAGAATCCTGAATGGGATCGTGGCTAATGCTCCACTTTTACCATTACTGAAACAGCGAGGGAACCCTCATTGTCGTGGACAACGCCCTCAGCTTTCTGAAGGGGCAAACTATATCACTATATCTATGAATAGAAAGCACTTATAGCAGCCGGTTCTTTTGAATGTTCAATAGCTATTTGCGCGCGGTCCTTTCATGTGCAGGTGTGTAACACCTCAGTCCCGAGCAGTCAAATTTAATTGGCGCGTCACAAATAATTTCCGTAGCCTTCACAACTCTGTAACAGCCGAAAAGTATCATTGTCGTATTATGCGATTAGAATTATACCCTTAGCGCAAAGCAGGAAGAAATATATTTTTACAGAAAAATGTTGCCACAAAAAACTATTCACTTTAAGACGAAAGGGCTTTAGCTCGAACTTTCGTTGTATTTTCAACTGTACATTTACGCCAATTTATTGCAGGCGATTATATCTACTAACTGGACAGCCACATTTGTTAGGGCACGAGCCACATTAATAAGCGGATTAATTAAAAGTACAACGTCAGCGTAGCCGCCATCAATAATATGAAATCCTTATTGCAGAATAATATCGACTGAAGTACTTGCAAAAACTTTAAAATGTGGTACTAAGTTAATTTTAAACTCAGTGCAAAGCTGCCGCGGTGCAAATTAACCTCGCTCGCGAATAACATTCATGAACAGGCAGAACAGCATGCATATGGTTCATTGGTGGTCAAATTGTATCAAATATAGGGAATGTGATATAGCATTATCGTGAAATATGCCGCAGAACATGCAAGCAATCAACTCAATGCGGGATGCGAATCATATAAGAATGGATCATATACATTGATCATATAATGCCAATCACGAAACAATATTTAAAGAAAATCACCGCATCTCGCCCCCTCGTATTTCTGGTGGGCATTAAACTCGCCAACAGACCTCAAATACAATTTACCACTGTAAAATGTAAATTATTGTGTTTTCGAGCCTTATATGTAACAATTTAATCTTGATCTCTAAATATATATCTGATGTTTAATAATATACAGCATGTCTACATTTTTGTCAATGATTCAGGTTCATTTCCTGGCAAATACTTTTGTCGTGACAATTTTCCTGTCCTTTTATCTGTCATTATGTAAATGAATAGGCTTTTCTATTGCGTGAATATATAAGTGCAGCGTTTATCCATCGTGTTCAGCTCAAGTGTAAAACAACTGTGTTTCCAAGTCCAGGTGCTATGCAACCATTATTTTCCTTAAATGGCACCCTCAATTAAATAACATACCGCAGGTTGATGTAAGAGATTTGTGAGATATTTAATATACTGTGCAGCAAGTCGCAGAATGTCTCTCTTGGGGATTTTCTTCGATGATTCTAAGGGAAGATGTCCCCTTAAGGCAGCAAAGGCTTCGCGAAACACACGTTGTCGTTCACGCTCTTTTTGCGCAGCGTTCGGCCTGTGCCGTCTCCGTTTTGGCTTTTCTGTTTGTTCTCCTTCCCTGCTTGACATACCCCTTTCAAAATAGCTCCCATCCGCGTAGTGTGGATACATCGACATTGAGCAATAAGACGTGGAAAAGCTTTTTTCTTTAGCCAGCGATCGAGGCATGACGAGTTGAATATTAGTCGTGGTTCTATTTACCAACTAGCAGGATTTATGCACTTTGCGGAGCTGTTAACAGCTTCTGGTAAATGACACCAAGTTTTCGAAAAGCTAAAGTATATATTGATTGATTGTTTACCGGAAACAACACTCCCGTTTCATATTAGAAGCATTTAAAATGCTGGATTAATTTCACGCGACACCTACATTAGATCGACTGAACCAATTGCAATAAGGTGCTGTCAGAAAGATACCTTCAAAGGGATGCAAAGCCGCCCTACAGGAGTAGGCTCATATAAAATTAGAGGAAACACTTTCTTGCGGAAAGTTGTAAACTATCCTGAAAAATAACAAAGAGTACCGCATGGAGTACTGGGATAATTGGCGTACACTATTATTAAGTCATGTAGTGAAATTAGTTTATTTTCTCATCCAGCACGATTTCTCTAAAATAAGTTTGGAACTCCAAGTCTCAGTCGATCCAGAAATTTGTATACCATCAACAATATGGATGACCTTTACAGTGGAGAAAATTGATGAATGATGAACATATAAATATATAGTCATTGATAACTTTTGTCCTTTATAAAAGGCAATATATAAAAGCTGGCGAAAACTGGAATGACGTCTGAACTCAACTTTCACGCCGTTGCTGGACTCGCCAGTGTCTTCTTTGTAAAGTCACAACAAACTTTTCAAGTATTCATTATTCATGCCTCTCTACTCCTCATAGGTGGGTGAGAGCTAATTAATTAAAGGCTCTTGATTTTTGTCAGTACTTGAGGGTAGTTCTTACAGCCCGGAAAAACAAAACAAACTTTTGTAAATTTAATCTAAATTATATGGAGGGCAGTTGTCCCATCCCCCCTGTCTCGTACGACACAAAAACCAAAGTGAAAACATATAATACGTATATCAAAACAGTAAAAAAGTAAAACATAAAAACCTATACCGGCCAGTCGTAAGTGAAAGCTATAATACGTCTATATCCTTCTTAAAACATTAGTCTTAGCGCGTAAAGCCGGCTGCTTACTATATAATCTTTCAAACGTACGCGGAAATGCAGTTAAAATAAGCCACTTGTTAAAAAAAACTCCGGTCCGCCGGTGTGATCTTTGTACACATCCACATGGTTTGAAGTAGATTATCGCAGCCATTGCGATTGTGAAGCGCATATAAAAATCCCGAATTCAATGGAAAGGGCGCCCAAGTGACTCGAAAGGAAAGAGACTATAAGTTGATCAGAATTTGGCACATGACAGTAGGAAACATGAACATCAAAATTTTCCCAATCAAAATTTACGATGAATAATGGGTCAATAAATGAACAGACAATTTCCATCAAAATATTTTGTAACATTCATAAATAAATCTAGTTTTTGAATATAATATATACTATTAGTCTATTGTCTACCCAATTACAAATACTGTTCCAAATCCTGTTCATATAGGAAAGGGGTGACCAAGTTTGACTAAGATTGGCGCTCTATATTGAACGTTTTATTTCGCAATAATTTCTGGGCAATAATTTAGGGGCAATAATTTCTAAAAGCCTTTCAATGGTGGCTGAAATTAAAGGGTGATAGTATGATGGCAGCCCAAATGCCCCCCTCCCCCCGGCTAATACTTCAAGTATCTGCCATTGCACATATTGACCCATGCATGTAGTGCTGCAGTTGTCAACACAACATTGATTCAAGCCGGATTTGAACCATGTATATTCAGCCAACAAAAGCTGACATTCTATTAAAATATAAAGTCTTTGTTGGGTTTCACGAAAGTCACAATCTGAAACAGAAAAATATAATTCTCACCATTTTGAGCAAAGCCTCTCGTCGGGAGAGTTAATACGCTGCTTTTATATAGGAAAATTACAAAGGTATTCACATGAATCATATAGACCAATAAAACTAACTCTCCTGACGAAGGGCCTTTGCTCCAAATGTCAAGAAATAGTGGCTGTGTTGAAATCCAACAAAAGCTTGACAATCTAACAGGATATGCCGTAATTCCATCTGCATGCATATACTGTATAATGTTTCCCATCCATCGACCAAGTTTCATATCGAACAGTACATGGTTTCGAATGTACTTGTATGGAAAAGAATGATGTACATCAGGAAGTATTTTTTCTTGTGAACTTTCTGTCGCTAGCCCTCTGTGATCTCAGTGAACCCGAAACACTGCCTCTACCCCTTGGCTTCCCTCGACCGCGAGGTTTTCCACCTTTCGTGTTAAACGGTACATAACTTTGATCTTCGTCGCTTGTGTCTGATGTAGAATCAGAACAAGATCCAGTTTTACTCGCATCGGGATCTTCATGAGTTTTATGTATGTCTGGCAGGGTAGGTTTCGACAATGAACGTGGATCGCATTGAACGGCGTGACTAGGATCTCGAATGTCCATTTCATCCGATCCTTTTTCATTTATGCAGCTAGCGATATTTTGAGACATTTCATTACATCCCTTAACTTTACGCTTTTTCACAGTCTGTTTTTCAACATCATCGTCATTGGTTTCCTTGTTCAATAGACGGTTCACAATTCGCTTAACACGACGACTTTTAATTTTTCTAGTTTCGTTGAACTGAACAGGAAAGTAGGCATCGATCTTTGACTGCGTCTGTGAAAGATAAAGTGCAATGCATAATTTCATTAACAGATTAACACAAGTTTAATACAACGTATAATATACTAAATGGAAGGGTGCTTTGTAATGCCATCTTAACATGTTATTTACAGTATATCACAGTATAAGGTACTGTTACATGCGATTTGTCGTGTACGATTCGTATGCTGTCGTATGTAATCGAATAAGCAGGCGTATAGCATTTGCATTTCAAATTTCCCCATAAACTAAGTGAAGACAGATTGTAGCATCAGCAGTAATTACGAATACATACACCAGAATGAGTTGTACATCTTGTACTGTAACATTACATTGCCTTATTTCTTAAAACGGCAACGGTCAATACACCTTTTCGATAATTACGTCATGAGTACGTTATTGGTCTGGGAGCCTCATTTTCAAGAATCGTGAGCCAATCGCCTTCCGTCTTGATTCATGACAGCGAGGCTCGTAGGCCAGGGACGTATTTATGACGTAATTATCGAAAAGGCGGGGTGCATTCCCACTACACAAGGGCACCTTTGATAAAATAGACAATATTTGAATAAAAATTGCGAATGTCAGAAACTAAAATTAGATGTTCTTCATTGTTGCATAGCTATACACATAATGTATGGGAACATCGCTCAGAGAAACACCAGCTTAGAACTGTTTCTTCGTCGTTAAACCCATATAATTAATTTTCGTGGACTTGAATACACACATAAAATTCTATTTATGCGCGCTCTCCTTCATTATAACATAATCGAAGCAGAAGCCCACGATATATTCTGTACATATGTTCATTTAGCAAAGACGAAAAAGAAGCGTGAGACTATAGGTGACTAAATCTTGAACGGCATATGTCTGTACCAGTGTAGGTAGTGCCAATAAATATGAACAAGCTTTCGTTGGTAGGGATCCAACTACCTGGAAAATATAAGAAGAATTTCGACGTTTCGAGCGAAGGCCTTTCACTCCGTCAAGCGAGGATTGAAGGAACTCCAGACGAAGGGCCTTCGCTCGAAACGTCGAAATTCTCCTTATATTTTTCAGGCAGTTGCATCTCTACCAACGTTTCTGTCGTTTGCCTTTGTTTATACCATTACCTCTTTACTATTAAGACGTTTCAGTACAGGTAGTAGGATCTCATCCGTCTTTATTTTGCTCCAGCCCAACTTCTCTGAGGCAAATGTGAAAATAGTTAAAGAAAATCAATATTTTTATACATTCTCTCACTGGTATGTGGTATAAAATATTTAGCTAAATCTGTTTTTCACATGCGACCCAAGCACAACAGACAAAAGCAAAGAAGTGTAGGGAGGAGTGCGCATGCAAGCTTCGACCTCAATAACGTAAGACTGTAAGCTAGCTTATTATTAGCATGACAAAATTACTGGATGCTGATTGGTTGAGAGGAGTACAATTATTTCATTAATTGTACTGCAGTACAATTAATGATTTTCCCAAAACAAACACAATGGCGGCGGAAAGGTATTTTAAGCACAGATGTAAAATGAAATTGCCGTGAAGGAACTAGATGAAAATACGAACAAACGCACCAAATTTTGCTTGAACAAAAGAACTAAATGAAAATACAAACAAAAGCACCAAATTTTGGTTGAAAGTGTGGCAGAACTGGGCTTTGGCGAGAGAATATGATGTTGACAATGATAAGTATCCAATTTTGTCATGCTAATAATAAACAAGTAATCATGCGATGTTGCTCGTACAATTAGGGATTAATAGTACTCGTGATGTTTGGAAATTTGCCAAATTGGACTCGCCCCGTCCAATTTTGGCAAAATTTCCAAACATCACTCGTACTATTAATCCCTAATTGTACTCGCCATCGCATGATTACCTATACTTATAAGATGGGACCCAACAAATTAAAAGCGAATTCATGCAAATAAGCAAAGAGAATTTTCACTGTTTTTCATCGTAAAGTGTGCCTTGTGTATATTCTCGCTATATGCTTGCTTTAGTTGTGAAAACCAGGTTTAAAGGATATTTCAGATAAATAATAATAAACTATTCATAAAACAAATTGAATATAATAACTTGCGTTTTCCATGCAAACACTCAGTCACTCACATGCAAACTGCATTTAATATGCATGTAAAAATGCATAAATTTATTTATAATTGCAACGTTTCGGGCAGTTTTATACTGCATGCCCATCGTCAAGGCTGCTGTTAATGTATAACTATATTACGCGCTTTTTAGAAGAAAAATTAAAAGGATATAATCTTAAAGAGTGGAGGTCAGGATTGGCCCATGAGAAAGCTTCTTTGGAATCATCCACAGCTGGATTTAGGTACGCCTCAAAAACTTGCTCCGATGGAAAGCCAATAGGGAGTGAAATATTTTTCTAAAAAATATAGATGCACCAATTACAACATGTATAGATCAGTACAAGTTATTCACAACCATATACTTACTAATTTATTTTTAACTTTACTTTCGTGTAGCTGATGCCTTGATTTGTCATATAACCAACTTCTGTTTAAAACAATAAAAATGCAAACAAATATTGCAGTCAAGTTTTTTATTCATAGTCTTCACTAAAACGTGGTTCGTGATTAGACAGCGAAAAAAGTAATAATTCAAAACTCTGGACATGCCGACACTTTTTAAATACCATACTTCCTCTATTTATCCCCCAGTAGTTCTGGACTGGGGGGCTTATTAGAAGTAGAGGGGCTAAATAGAGGCTGGAGGCGGAATAAATTTTTACGTTCTTGTAAAGGGATATGGCAATAAAAATTAACTTTGTCTTATTTGAAAGAACTTTTAAAGTCATATATGAAGACCGTTTACATGCACTTTTTCGTACCTTGCTTGGTTTTCGAAATATTTTGACCAAAAACAATTAGAGGGATACTTGGAGACATTTTAAAATTAACCGTTATTTAGCCATATCAGTGCACTTTATATACATCGAGCATTATCAGTGAACGCTATAAAGAATGTTCGTGTTCATATTTCGTTATCAGTTTAAATTGAGAATGATTTAATTAATAGAGGATGGCTAAATAGAGGGTGGGAGCTTATTTTGTTTCAGTGCTTCTGGACTGCATGAGGGCTAATTAGAAGGGTAAGGTGGGAGTCTAAAAAGAGGCTGGGTACTAAATAGAGGAAATACGATAATACGAGTTTAACGTGGAGAGAGAGCTACAGAAATAAGCTTAGAGATGCTTAATATATACAGGTTTTTACATTTAGTAAAGTACTCACTTTAGGTTCTGCAATTTCTCAATGCCTTCGCCAGAAAATTCATTGATAATTTCCATGGCAGAAACAATTCCTATACCTAGAAACCAAACAACAAATAATGCACATTTTGCTTTCCATCAGTAAAGATGGAACTTAAAAAGTCTAAGATATGAACTCGTATTTCTCTCTATTTCGGTGGATATGGATACTAAAATAAGATTAACTGTAGCCTGCGTAGCAGTTAAACGCTAGTTCAATTGTTGTTTATTAAAATATTAAAGTGAATTCGAATCCAATTACAATCTGTCGCGAGTAGACGATGTAGCATGCAGTTCAGTATAGTAGTTATTCTACGACAAGATATCATGATTTTACAAAATAACAGTAACTCCGAATAACATTTTGATTTTCAATCGACGTTTCGACCAGTTTGTAGGATTAATAATTAATCCTGAGGATGACCACAAACTAGTCGAAAAGTCGATTAAAAATCAAAATGTTATTCGGAATTACTGTTATTTTGTATTTTCTTAAAATACTGAGTGGTTCCCGTAATTATATCATTATTTGTTTATGAAATAACTGAAAACGATTAAAAACAATTCGACGTTTCGACAAAAGGCCTGTCAAAAGTAGCTAGGGTAACCTGTACCGGAAGTGAATGATACGAATTAGTTCTTAGAAGAGCTCTGCATCGTGTTTTTTTTTTTGTGAGCGACTTTTGAGATTTGAGAGCATTAAAACATCATTTGTGACTATTGGTTTGTGACTTGTGACTTATTGTGATCGTGGGGCATCAAACAACATTCCCCACACAGCGGCACCTTCGTACGGGATAGAAATTCGTTGTTTCGGCGAGAAACGCGGCAAATATATCGTTTTATCGAACAAAAAATGGAGAAATTAGACGGCTTATTGGCGGGCAAAGTAAAAGCCTTACGTTTTACGTTAAGCGAAACCGACGATATTGTTGGAAAGGGAAACAAAACAGCACTCGAACGTCATCGCGATGCGTTGAACTCGATGGTAGTTGCTATTCAAAAGTTAAAAGGAGATATTGAGGAAGCGAAATTTACAAATGGCGACAGCGACGAAAATGTCGAAAGTTGGGGAAAGCCGGTCGTAGAGCAATTGGAAGAAGTCGACGAAAAAATTACGGATTTAAACAAGTTTATAGCGGATTTAGTTCTCCGAGAGAAAGCACAACAACAGGAAGAGAAAAACAAACTGGCATTTCATACGAGACAAGAACAATTAGCATTTAAGCGTAAGCAATTCGAACAAAAGCTAGAATTTGAAACAAAGATGAGCGAGATAAAGAAAAATTCAATGACGTCATCATCCGAGAATAGTACCAGTGCAGTTAGCAGTGCAGCAAAGCTCCCAAAGTTAGTGATCACGAAATTCAACGGCACACACCAAGACTGGCCTAGGTTTTGGAACCAATTCGAAGCAGAAATAGATAAATCGAAAGCGGCTGCTATTACAAAATTCTCATATTTAAAGGAATTGGTGGAGTCTAAGGTAAGGAGCTGTACAGACGGTCTCCCATTTTCGACCGAGGGATACGAACGTGCTAAAACAATCCTTAAGACCAAATATGGTAGACCCTGCGAAATAGTGCATGCCTACATGAAAAACATTATGGGGCTACCCGTCATCACTGGAAGCCACCAACCAAGGAAAGTGCACGAATTTTATGAATCTCTGGTGTATAATGTTCAATCACTCGAGACACTTGGGAAACTGAAAGAAATTACTGGGTACATTCGCACTGCACTAGATAAGTTGGAAGGGATCCGAGGCGACCTGGTGCGGAATGATGATAATTGGCAAGAATGGGACTTCCCAAAATTAGTTGAATTCAATCGGTGAACGGTGATTTTAGTCTAGAAGCAGATGTGACAAAGATTGCTAAACAGCAATTGTTGTTGTTACCACATCCACGTTGATGATCCGAAAGAACAGCTCCCAATTCATCTCATTTTGGGCGTGGGGGAATACGCGAAAATCAAGACAAGCTCGAAAGAGAAAGTTGGTGTACCGGGAGAACCAGTGGCTAAACTAACCAAATTTGGATGGATTCTAGTATCACCTGGACAAGGTGTCGATTTATCTCAAATGTTCCTGACACAAACATCTTCGGTGGAATACGAGGAACTTTGTCGAATGGATGTCCTAGGTCTAGCTGACACCCCAGTGGGAGATCAAGAAGCGGTATACGAAGAATTTAAAGAACAACTATACAGAAGTCCAGAAGGCTGGTATGAATCTGGCCTCCCCTGGAAGGGAAACTATTTTCCAATTGGTACAAATGAGGTCAACAGCCAACGACGACTACGGACATTGGTGAGTAAGCTCAAAACCAGTGAGAAGTTGGAAGAATATGACAATGTTATCAGAGAGCAGTTGAATGAAGGAGTGGTGGAACCTGTACCAGAGAGTCCTGAAGGAAGATAATTCTATATACCACATAAGGGAGTATTTCGTGAGACTGCAGAAAGTATCAAATTACGGGTCGTTTATGATGCCGCGGCACGACCATCGAAAGAGTCACCATCACTTAATGACGGTCTCGAAGTCGGTCCTCCTCTGCAGAATAAATTGTGCTCTGTGCTAGTTCGGGGAAGATTTTACCCTGTTTGTCTTAGTGGAAACTTGCGTAAAGCGTTCCTACAAGTGAGAATTAGTAGTGGTGATCGAGATGTCCTCCGATTCTATTGGCTGAAAGATATCAACATGGATGAAATACAAACTTTGCGATTTACAAGAGCCATCTTTGGTTTGACATCATCTCCATTTCTCCTGGGGGAGTGATTCAACAACACTTAGAAAGTTGGCACCCTGCTGTGGTCGATGAGATTGACAAAAGTCTTTATGTTGATGACCTTGTTAGTGGAGCTACTACAACCGAGAAAGCATCACAATTACTGTTGTTCCAATTGAAGTGTTGCTCAAATATTGATTCAATACATTACCTCGGGCTGACCAATTCATTTGATCAAGTTCCTCGAGATATTCATACACTTCCTGTGAAAGAGCCAATTCCAAGTATTTGATCATTTCTGGTCACTTCCTGTCTATTTATGATTGGTTAGTTGCACAAACAACAAAGGTGATTGGTGCATTCAAGCTATTCAACAGGAAGTTTACAGTTATACTAGGAAGTGTATGAATATCTCTAGGAACTTGATGAAATGAATTGGTCAGCCCGAGGTAATGTATTGAATCAATATTTGAGCAACACTTCAATTGGAACGACAGTAAAAGACAAGGCTACTGAAATCTTTCAGGATGCCACATTCGATCTGCATAAGTGGCAGTCAAACGACAAGGGGCTAGAAACGCCATCCTCATCGAAGCAAGAAGACGAAACTTACGCAAAGGAACAACTCGGGATTCCAACTAAAGAGAATGGTAAACTCCTTGGCCTTGACTGGAACAAAGATAAGAACACGATAAGCATTTCTTTCCCGTCAGAGAAAGCAGAATCGTCGAAAAGAGACATACTATCCAAAATAGCTAGAGTATATGATCCTTTACGACTAGTGTCTCCGAGGACACTAGCCGGCAAGCTGTTGTACCGTGAAGCCTGTGACCGAAAGTTAGGATGGGATGCACCGCTGAATGAATCGTTTGCAAAACGATGGGAAAAGTGGGAGAACGAACTTCCGGACAGTGTTGAAGTTCCTAGGAGTCTTGTAGGAAATCGAGAAGATATCCAAGAAATTTGTCTACATGCATTCGGAGATGCAAGTAACAAAGGAGTGGCAGCAGCCGTCTACGCTGTGGTGAGACAACCTTCTGGAGACACGCAGGGATTGGTTGCAGCAAAATCACGTTTATCAAAACGAGGACTGTCCATACCAAGGACGGAGTTAGTATCGGGTCACATGGCGGCAAACCTAGTTGACAATGTGAAAACAGCCTTAGAAGGGTTTCCTGTCACCGAAGTGACAGGATGGCTAGATAGCACGGTGGCGTTGTACTGGATCGAAGGGAAAGGGCAGTACAAACAGTTCGTACAAAATCGCGTGCGGAAGATCTGTGAGAGGAAATGAAACGTTTGACGAACTTCTCGGGAAATTTGAGCTTTGGAAAACTCTGCGAATTGGAGCATGGGTGGCGAGGTTCCTGTCTAATGCTAAAGTTCATGATGGAGAGAAGACAGTGGGTCCTATTACGTCAGAGGAAATTCAAAAGCAGCTAGCATTTTGGGTAAAAAGAGTTCAAGGAAGGAATGAAGAAACCAACACCTTTCATGATGATCGGCTACGGTTAAACCTTCAAAGAAACAATGACGGTGTATACGAATGTTGGGGCAGACTTCAAGGGCATTACCCAACCTATCTACCAGATCAAGATGTGTTCACCGAGAAGCTTGTAATGGACGCCCATATCCGCACCTTGCACGGGGGAGTCGGTCTTACGATGACTAAACTGCGAGAGGTTTACAGGATACCACGGTTACGACGGTTGGTAAGAAAGGTGAACAAAAAATGTAATGGCTGTAAACGGTTTCGGGCAGTAGCAGTTGTCAATCCTCCACCCGGAAATCTTCCGACAGATCGAACAGTTGGATCCTCTGCACACCAGGTGATCGGTGTTGATTACGCGGGGCCTATTCCCTACCGTACGGCGAAGAATCGAGAACGGAAGTCATATATCCTTCTGTATTCCTTGCAGTCTGTCGAGAGCTATCCATTTGGAGTTACTTCCAGACCTAACTACAACAGAATTTATCCATAGTTTGAAGAAGTTTATTGCTCGCAGGGGTCGTCCTAGAAAGATCTACTCGGACAACGGCAAGACCTTCGTGGCTGCAGCGACCTGGCTGAGAAAGGTGATGAAAGAAGAACGTTTCCGCAACTGGTTAGCAGAACAAAGAATCGATTGGCAGTTTAATCTATCTCGTGCACCGTGGTGGGGCGGTCAGTTTGAGCGGATGGTAGGATTAGTCAAACAAGCGTTATACAAGTCCATTGGAAAAGCCTGTCTACAATGGAAAGAACTTCAAAAGTATTGTTAGACATTGAGCTGGTGTTGAACAATGGACCGTTGAGTTATGTAGAGGATGACATCCAAATGCCGATCCTAACCCCTAACAACCTGATGTTTGGTCAACCTGGCACAATCCCTGAGGAAGATGTACATTGCATTGATGAGGCAAGCCTTAGAGAGCAAAATATGTTGAAAAATGCAAAAACGCTTTGTGGTCGAGATGGTCGTCGGAGTACCTTCGGGGGTTGCGAGAACGCCATAATTTGAAACATCCAAAGAAAGAGCATACGCTGAAACAAGGAGACGTGGTGATTATCAAAGGAGAGGAAAGAAATCGAAACAAGTGGAAACTCGGTGTTGTAGTTCAGATGATCAAGGGAAGAGACGGTGTGATCAGAGCGGTCAAACTGAGAGCAAGAAAATCATTCTTAGAGCGTCCAATCCAGTTTCTATATCCATTGGAATTGTTGTGTGACATGGAACCACCCAAGACCAGTTTGAACGTGGAGGCGAAAGAGTAAGGGAGGGAAAGGCAGCAATATTCGGTCAGGAGAACATTCGAAAGATAGTTGAAGAAGAACAAAGTGACTGAACACTTTAATTAAATATAGTTGTTTTATTGAACGTTTATAATACATATAATCAGTAGCCTATGAACAGAACTGAGACACTGTTGAATTATTTGGTTCCTATCGGAACAAAATAGGGGGAGTGTGTCAAAAGTAGCTAGGGTAACTGTACCGGAAGTGAATGATACGAATTGGTTCTTAGAAGAGCTCTGCATCGTGTTTTTTGGGGGTTTTTTTGTGAGCGACTTTTGAGATTTGAGAGCATTAAAACATCATTTGTGACTATTGGTTTGTGACTTGCGACTTATTGTGATCGCGGGGGGGGCATCAAACAACATTCCCACAGGCCCATTGTGAGGTAACTATAACTGAAACCTCCTGATGAAGGGTCTTCGTTCGAAATGTTGAAGAATTTCAATATTTTTCATAGTTCGGAGTTTGACATGGCTGACCTTGTATTCCTTCTGTGTAATCGCTTCCAGTAAGCAATGCGATAGCAATGAGGTTTAAACGGTCCAGACCTAAACGTGGTAAGCAAATAATAAACAATTAACAATTATTCACTGAATAACAATTAGATTAACAATAATTCACCGAAGTGGAGGTGAATGGTGCAAAGATATCCGGAGTTGAACAACCAATCAAATCGCGCGAAAAGCACTATCCACCTCCCGGATATTGAGAATACTGGGAATGTTGACCAATCACGAACGAGAATAAAGTTTGAAAGTATATTATTATATACATTAGTAATTATAAATTGAATATTATCTGGCCCCGAAATCCCTGTTAAATCATGCACTGTTTCAATTGATCCCACCATTAAGAGTTCCGGGGATACAAAGTTCCGGAGTTCAAACATCCGGTATTGCACTCAAACGATCTGGTATACGAAAGAAGAAGTCACGTTAAACTAAAGAAAGTTGTTTGTGGGACATGCTTAACTCCATTGACTGTCACTGAACGCGTGAACACAAATAACAAGTACACTTTCAAACATACGGAAAGCAACCTGTATGCGTATAGAGTCTGGCTACAAGAACTAAATCAAAGAACTGTTTAACGAATAAATACAGTAGCATACTTTACCCAGTACGCACTTGACATCATCTTCTTGATATATCTCTGCATCACGCTTCTGATTGAAAATATTTTTGTAAACTTTCTTAGATCCAAATAGAATAATATCACTATCTTCAGTTATTGAGCCATCACACAAGTTATTCCTGTTTAAGGTAGCACACTGTGCTTCCGCTTCCATAGGACTTACGACAAATGGAATCCCAAATAACTGTAATAATTCCTGGAAAGTAACAGAAACTTGTTTCAGGAGGATGTTCGACTACATAATTTGATTATGGGTAAATATTCTAGATTTTGTACATCTCGCTGGATAGAACAAAATTTCGAAAGGTTTTTGTAGATTCACTTTTCTTTTTCATTTAGGTCTAAAAATTAATATAGTTTTTGGACGAAAAGTGAACTATCAGTAATCGGAAAGAATACAACATCTCCATAATCTAAGCGTGAGAGTGTTAAAGTTTCTACAAGGTGTTTTTTTAAATTATGGGTTGTAAAGTTTTTAATTTTTCGCAACATCGCTAGAATTTGAACAACTACAACACATGGTACACTTAAGGAGGCTCCCTACAGTTTCCAATATATATATATATATATATATATATATATATATATATATATATATATATATATATATATATATATATATATATATATATATATATATATATATATATATGTTTTAAACTAAAAGCTATTTGAATCTAAAAAAACTAATTTTTTGCACAAGCATTGTTTCCTCTTATATAAAAAAGTAATTTTAACCAACAATCGCTACTCTTCACGTTACCATGACAACATGACGTCACCATCCATATGACCTATATCAACCAAAAAAGTCGTCTTAGCGGAGAAATAACCACGGTGACCTACCTTTTTTATTGCAGAAAATACATTGTTATGAAGTTTTGAATCTTTTTTGAAAGTTATTTGAAAATCGCCAATGTAGTTTTCGAGAAACTGAATTTCAGCCTTTAAGATTGCATTTTAGCTTTGGAAAGGCTGAAATTCAATTTCTCGAAAACTACACTGGCGATTTTCAAATAACTTTCAAAAAAGATTCAAAACTTCATAACAATGTATCTTCTGCAATAAAAAAGGTAGGTCACCGTGGTTATTTGTCCGCTAAGACGGCTTTTTTGGTTGATATAGGCCATATAGATGGTGACGTCATGTTGTAACGGTAACTTAAAAAACTCATTAATAATTCATGAAGAAAATACAAAAGAAATCACGGGCGTGAAGGAGTCTGTATATGTGATACAGATTCATGTTCATTTACATAAACTTTAACTTTGATTTTCTCGGCTTAGACAAGGTTTATTTTTAAAATTACTTCGCCATATAACATCCGTGTTGTATATCCGATACAACACGGCCGCTCATGTTGTAAATAGTACATGAAGAGTAGCGATTGTGGGTTAAAATTACTTTTTTATATAAGAGGAAACAATAGCTTGTGCAAAAAATTAGTTTTTTTGGATTCAAATAGCTTTTAGTTTAAAACACCGATATATAATGGAAACTGTAGGGAGCCTCCTTAAACTCACTTGACTATCTTTGTACATTTCATCAGTAACAGTGGCAGCCAGTCGGGTTTGGCGCGACCTTTCTTCCTTCAAACTATCAAGATCTTCATCCAATTTCATTTGCATCTCTCCAAGTTCTTCCTGAAAGGCATTTTACATACGGAAACAATATGACGTTTTGTAGAGTTCACCACATTCAACACCCAGGATATTGGAAAATACAGTATGTTACCTTCATTAAATGATCCAATGCTGCTACTATTTACTTTACGAAATAAAATCCCTTCTGAAGTTCAACATAGTGTCATGTCATATTGCCATGCACTGGTTAAAAGCAGGCGATATTTCAACCAAGCAGCCAGACAAAAATAAATTTTAATTATCAATGAATTAAGATTCACTTTCTTAGTACTGTATGTCGAGCTCAAAGTAATTGTCACCCTATAACTAAGTTAAGTGGAGTACATGTAATTACAAATGGCAGAGATGTACATGTAAGAACACATGCATTTCGTTAATGTTTGAACGGGACCATTTAACAATAAAAAAGTGACGTGACATCCAGAGACCTTCAAAGCTCTGTGCATTTACATGTACGTATTTTCCCCATCAGACATGCACCTCGCTATTCTTATGACAGCGAAATTTGCGTGAGATCAATTACGATTTACTGTTGTATAGTGCCTCATCATGAATTGGTAAAAAAATATTTATCATGATCCATGCACTATGCATTCAATTGCAAGCAAGTGCATGTAAGATTTGCACAAAAATCATAGTACTCACATATGTTATTCCTTCAAACTCATTTGGAACAGGTGCATCGATTTCAGTTGGCCGGGACGTTCCAGTATCGGATAGAGGAATGGCAATATCATCGCTAGTAGTAGTGGAAGGATTAGATCCTGCATTTTTACTTTCATTGTCATTACTTAAACTAATCCCGTGTTGAAGAGAAATGTCACTAGCGGCACAAACTTGCATAGAAAGATTATTCTGTCCCTCATCGCATAGCGACTTTTCCTCAAGTAAATTCCCAACGTTTTCCTTCGCATCTGACGGACTCATATTGGACGTGCGTCTATTGGACAGCAACTTTTCAATCAGAAGTTTCTTTTGGTTTATTTCATTCTCTAAATCATCTAACTCAGTGTTAATAGTTTTTTCAGGGCTTAATTCTTGTTGACAAATTTCCCCGGTTTCAGATAATTTTGGAATGGATGAACTAGCAGTGGAAACGCATGTGTTGCTGTCGTCCAATGTGTCATTGGAATACTGGGATGACGAAAGAGTTCCGTCGCCACCTTCCTCAACAAAGTATTCATTATCGATTGGTATATTCCCACTTATTTCTCCGGTGAGTGTTCCACTATTCTCATTAGAATGGACTTTATCATCGTTGATATCCATTTTTAGTTCATTCGATTCAACTGGAAATGAAATGCCTTCTTTCCGAACTGCATCATTTTTATTTTCTTTGCCTGTGGCCTGTCTCATCACAATGTTAGACAAATCGGTGGCTTCTCTCTCTGGAATGCCAAAATTATTTGATTGTTTCATTAAATCACTTGCTGATTCAGTTGGCAAGACTTTAGCAGCAATATCTTCAAACTCTTGGTCATCACTACTTTCCCCTGTACTGCTTGTCGCTGCATCTAAAGACATACTCATGCTAGGTTTAGCAACATTGCTTGAGACTTTAGGCAAGTCTTTTAGAAAGAATGGTTTAAGTTCCACCTCATCGACGTTGCCATCTTCACGGAAAAATCCTCCAGCCATTTCATCCTCTTTTTGTTCCTCATGATCTAAAAGATTTTCAAACATCCAAAAACCAATATAATACTTCAACGTGCCAGCAACCGCGCTCCTTCCAAGGCGGTGGACTTGTGTCAAGTCTTGCAATCTAGTGGCGAAATACTGTAGCTACTATACAGAGAACTGTCTGTGCCAGTGTAAGTAGTGCCAATAATATAAACAAGCTTTCGTTGGTAGGTATGCAACTATACCTGAAAAATATAAGAAGAATTTCGACGTTTCGAGCGGAGGCCCTTCGTCTGGAGTTCGAAACGTCGAAATTCGCCATATATATTTTTCAGGTAGTTGCATCCCTACCGACGAAAGCTTGTTTATACTATACAGAGAGCGTTTTCACATTTTTTTTTAAAAGTGTTTTGTTTTATGAAGTGTAGAGCTTTTACTATATTACATGTGTCTTTTGATGGATATAAACCCAAGCTAACAAACCCAAGCTAACAAAACTGATCTTACGAAACGATGGGGAGAGCGTACGTTCCAAAAAGGAAGAGGCTCTAACTCCACGGGACCTTTAATAGCATTTTGGCCCTTTCACAAAGAAGTCAAAAGATTAAATAAAATAACATACCATCACTTTTTCGTGCTGCTGTCCGCTTGATTAAAATGTAATGTCCTGTTTCTTCAGACATTATTTTCTGTGATTGGATGATCGAATTAACGTTCATTTCACTGTCAGCAACGTCAACAACAAGTTCTCCCACTCGTTTTTCGTTCATTTCTTTTCTTATTGTTCCCAGTCTTTGAGTTAACTTCCCGCGCTTCAGTAGATGATTCAGTTGAAAATTTGAAAAGTCATCACACTCCTATACAGTCACGTCATATAGATAGCGTAAATGATCTAATTAATGCCCAGTTACTATAAAGGGGTACCGGTATATAATAATTAACGCCTATTAGATGAATTAAACGTTTGTTGATGAAATAATGGTTTATGATCTAAATAAATCAAAAGATATGCAATGGGCAAATTTAGTCATTTATGCAAGACGATTTTGGTAATTGGTTAATCGACTCGTACATCATCACATGCACACTTCATCTGATTGGACGAAATTCTAGATAAATGCTTCCCTATATATGCCTTGGATCTTGGTTTTTATGCTTACAAACAGGACTAGTATAAAGTATAAACATGGCATATACCTCTGGCATGTCTATATCCTGATAGCGGGAATGTCTCTTACTTTTCTCGTGCATTTCAACAATAATTTCATGTTGAATCTCACGTGGCAGCTTCTTGAATTCTTCCGAGTCGATGTTAACATCCGTTGTATCCTATATATAGCAAATGAAAAATCAATAATCATGGTCATACACATCTTCGAAAGAATGTACAGGGGGGATACAGTATTGCAAATTTCATCTCGGACTTCAATTGCTCTTTATAAAAATTATAGGTCTGTGGTTGAACTCTCTCTAAACACTAGCCTATGCATGAAGGACGCTCTTCCTAGCACATAGTACTACGGCAAGATTGTACCTGGAAATGGTGTGATTGAAAGAAAGATTCATCAACGGACGGACTAAAGAATACAAAAAAATACAGTATATATGGGTAAAGTATCTTATTAAAAACATTTTCTGATGTTTGGGAAAGGGCAGGCTTTCAGTCAGGATGTCAAAACTGGCCGTCCAAAACTGCCATGAGTGTGGCAACCTATTGTTTGAAAAACATGGCGTTTGGAATCATTTGTCACATGCATATAATTCAGCGTCTTTTCGGCAGAAAGTTTGGAAACGCATGCAATAGATAAAATAAATAACAAGTTCTGAGATATTCAAGAAACATCATAAAGCTTGCAAGTTGCTGTTGAAAGAAAACATTTTCTTAGTATATAGGCCGTACACGGCTGTCTATTAAAAAGTGGCTGTCAATAGGACAGTTGGACGGCCGCCTGGCTGAATGCCTGGGAAAGGGTTGTCTTGAATGAATAGTGTTATAGTAATTGTATAGTTGGGAAATATGAAGTAGCAATGAAAGTACAGTACATGTGAAACGTATATAATTTCAGGCTGCATTCAGCCATTCAGGGCGTCTAAAGATAGAGCGCTGAAACGGCTGTACGTCGTATTGAAACACGTGTGACGCACTTTAGAACTGGCCCTAGCGTGGTCAGCTGGGACAAAAAGTTGATGCGAAACTCAAAGAGGCTTTGCAAATACCTTACTTTGTGGTCAGTGTGACCACATTTTCCCTTACTATTATTATACATGATGTTCAAAATTTACTAAATTGGAAATTTTTTACCAAATTTCGCCCCCACCCACAGTTTGATAAAAATCCGTGGTAGCAATTACTTTTTTGCAGATAAAGGTTTTCGTCAAAAACAATAGTATCATCATGGCTTCGACAAGGAACCGAGTTGACGAGGTTAGCCTGAATAGCAACTAATTCCCTCTTCCATTTTTGAAATTATCGGGCTTGCAGACCAGAGAGTTACCTGTAATTGCTTTTAACACCTTTATTACACAAGATACTATTCAGACAAGAATAAAATACTGAATCATCAAAATCTTTAAAGGCCCGTTTACACGGGCGATTTTTGCTGCGATTTTCTCGTTTTGGAGGATGTGAAGGAGTGGATGAGTTATAAATGTTTCAGGTTATGGAATCTCCTAACAACATCATTAAGTAATCCACTTTTAAAATTTTACTGCACAAATTCAATATATACTACATTTTTTCCAAAATTGACGAAATTTTTACACTGTTAGTAGCATGTGTTCAAATATTCTAGGGGTCCTGTACATCACACATACTTCAGGACTCACGGCTTGTTTCACCACCTATATCTTATCATGTTGTGTATATAAATTACACATCAAATACATGTTCTTTCATTACTTAATATACCTTTCAGGCTCTTTCCTCTCCGGTAGTGGAGGTAGTTCAAACAAATCTTTCTCGCGTTCTGGCTGATTTAAAACATCAGATGATCTCTGGCTGACAATAAAAAATATATCCCATAAGCTGATTGGTCATTAAAAGACCTCTTTTATCTTCCTATCAACAAAGTTGATGTTCCAAATGAACTAATGAAACAGATGTGCATCGAATCTGCCTATTGACGGACATGTCCATAGCACGGCACAGTACATTTAACTATAATGACCAATGTACATGCACTATAATGACTAATGGTTCGTCAGTAAAATCACAGCTCTTTATCACCAAACACAAGTACGCAACAGACATTTAGCAGGGTCGTCTCAAAGAAATGATCAAAGGGAAGGGAAATACAGAACTGTCAGGTACATACGTACTGGGGTAGAAACAATAAAATTGCTTTCCTCATTCTTTTAATAGAATGGAAGTTATTGCATGTCAACGCAGGATGATTTTGGTACAGTGCAGTTGTATACAGTAGTCTTACATGACAGAAATTATTATATATAAATAATATAATTATGCATTAATTAACAGAATGAACTGTTTTTATCCTCGTTTTCATGTGATTATTTCCTCGTGTTTTGTGCATAGTATAGGGTTAAGGATACAACCTTCATATGCGCCTGCCATACTAAAACAGGCAAACATGGAAACGGAGGACAATAAACAGCAAATTTTATTGAAAACAATCCTCAAATTTATAAACCAGCTTAAGTTTATAACTCCTTTTCCCGGCAAAATGCAGTTTCCGTTATCAAACTAATAACTCAGCAGTGTCAGTGAATTTCTACAACTGTACTGCTGTACAGTACAGTACAGTACAGTACAGTACAGTACAGTACAGTACAGTACAGTACAGTACAGTACCTTCTTCGTCCTGTCACGCTACCAATCGCACGTGACTTCAGGTGTTTCTTCAAAACATTTTCAGATATCTTTTGAGCCTTGTTACGGGCTGACAATCTGATTGACCTCCGTGCAGCCTAGAGTAAAGACGTTGCAGACACGTGTTTTCAGTTCTCATGGGAGAATGGCGAATTATGCCAGTCTGTGCATACGTAATTATTTCCAATAGAACACAAACATGTTTAAAAGCGTCAAGCCAAATACTAATACGTTAATTCTGAATAACTGGGGCAGGTTGTACAAAGGCCGGATAGCACTATCTACAGGATTATAGTGATTTTTTCAAAGTTTCTCAAAATTGTCTATTGATTGGTATATAACCCAGATTAATTAAACTCCATTATTTTTCTTTTTATTTATTGCGAGGTCCATATCGGTAGTTTTATAGTTATAGTTTTATAGTTATAGTCTTTATTAGAATAGCTAAAAAAGTCAATATCCAATGGATAGCGCTATCCGGCCTTCGTACAACCGCCCCCTGAAAGTTTATCTCCTCTAAGTACTTTTGAAAGAGTGAAACATTCTCAATCTTGAAGACTACTGCTTTTGATCTTTTGCAAATTGAACAAGTGAACTGGCAAATTTTTTATTGCAGAAGGTTACAAATTCAATTCAAATCAGTTTATTAACGTTGCAAACTTTCATGTAAAGAACTATCAACTATATTTTATTAGTAGAATCATACTAGTATATACACTAATATTGCATATGCTGTAATTTGATTGGCTACTCTACTCGCTATCTATTCCTCGATAGATAGCGAGTAGCAAAACAATCATTTTCCTGGCGCATTTTAAAAAATGGATTAAGAAATAAATTATTGAATTATTCTGTGGAATATTTTATGCTTGATCTCTAATTCTACTAAAACAATTATATTACTCGCTCTCGATTTCTAGGAGGTGATAGTTGATTCGGGCTTCCCCCTAATATCTATCACCTCATAGAAATCTCAAGCTCGTAATTTAATTGTTAAATAGATTCTTACGAATACAACATAGATAAAAGTGATTTTAAAACGGGATGAGAATCTCATCCCCACAACCACACAAAGAGACTAACAACTACAGTACATATGCTTAAAATAGTTATAACGACAGAACTTACTAATATATTTGAACAAATATTAACTTTTCAGGTTATTTTTCCTTAGAAGTCATTAAGTAAAGGTTGAAAATCAAACCAAATGATGGAATGTTTTTCATTAAAAAGGTTATATTAATTTCTCCAGTAAAAATCCTATAGGATTCATATTTGTATTGTATTGATATTTGCTATGTTGGTGTTATGTACTCAGGTGAATAAGATGCTTGTGATGTTACTCTGTGGATATACACTCAGAGTAACATCACAAGCATCATTGTATTGTATTGTATGTATATATATGGTCGTGATTATTCTCACAAGGTTCAATCAATTTTGTTTTCTTTCAAACCTGTTACTGACCAACTATGCATCCTCTTAAGGCTTGAGCAACATGGGTTCCAGAAGCCTGCGTTCCAGAGGCTTCACAGTTTTAGTCATTACATTTCATCAAAACATCATGATTTAAAGACCTGAAATCCTGGAAGGCTGGGTAGGTTCTGAGGTGAATCATTATTTAACAAAGCATTGGTTTTGGACAGGCTCTAAAATATTTTTGCTTTGGAAATAAATGAATGAATTACCATTGTTTTCTTCTTAAGCTCAGGAACACCACCGTCAAATACAAATATTGGTTTGATTCTGTAATGCAACAACTTGCAAATTCTTTGAAACAACAACACCAGATGAGCATTTGGAACTGTGCTGCCATGTTGATTTTTCATGCCATAAAGAGCCTGATTTAGCCATAAACTCACATCTGATTAGCAACATGCATGTCAAGAAAGTTTAAATATAATGGACAACACATATCCCACATCCATTATTGCACCTTGTTGGTAAAAGGGGAAACAACCAAATAAGGCAAAATACCTAGAGAAAGTGCTCGCCACTCAGTAACAATATGTACCTGTCGTCCTGTCAGGAATCCAGAAAAAACCTATCTACTGTAACTGATCAATCTCTGTGAAAGATACTCCAAACCCCTTTAGATGTGTATTTCAGTATGCCAAAAGTTCTTATTATATTGCATAGTTTGATAATTAAATATAATCCCTCAAGTATATTGTTCACTACTAGATATGCTACTGTAGCTGTAACCACACACCCACAATGTTATCACAAGGTTTCCAACCCTAATCTTTTAATCCGATGTTTGGAAACAGCTTGGAGTAATTTTTGCACTTCCAGGCACTTGTTTTATCCTATAGTAGTATGAACTTGCACCCTGATGCACCTATACTTTAATATTTTACTCTGTCTAACGCCAGATTTTACTTGTGAAGGGGAGAGTGCTGCCACTCAATCAATCAATGGGTTAAAGTAGGCCTATGACCTGTTTGTTTCAAAGTTAATATACATAACAAATGTTTCTGCCAGCAGTGCTGCTGCATTGGGTGATTCCAGCTATAGACTAAATTTTGATCTTGGCAAGAAGAACGAAATCCAACACACACAGCTAGAAAGAGCATCTTAGAATGAGTAAAACTGCAAAGTTTGGTTGCAAAATGTTGTAAAATTAAGAAAATATAGCCCTACGAAGTTCGCAAATTTTGTATATATTTGTATCACGTGCGGTAAAAATAACCACTTTCGGCTCAGAAATGGTTATTTTTCCCGCGCGTAATGGAATTATATACAAAATTTGGGAACTTCACAGGGCTATATTTTCCTCATTTTACAACTTTCACAACCAAACTTTGCAATTTTACTCATTTTAAGATGCTCTTTCCAGCTATGGTAATGGATTTCGTTCTTCATGTCTAGATTAAAATTCCGCCTATAGCTGGAATCATCCATTGATGTGGAGCATTACATATCATTTTTCAAAATTTGCTTCATAATTAAAAGAAATAGCTTTCTTTGAAGTTTGAAACTTAATAATTCATCACTCCTTAGTATATTTTGTTGGCCAATTTTTGCCTTATCGGTCGACAATCAGAATTGGTAGAATTATCTGTATTTTCTGATTGTGTAAAATCAATGTTGAGAAAATATGCAGCCACTATACACATCTAGAGACTTCAGAGTTTAAAATTTTCCCGCTCAGCGCCAACCATGGTGGCGCCGCAATTTTTTTTCCGTAGACAGTCGGACTCCTCATTGATAGTCGGACGCATCATTGATCCGCGTCCAGGCCTCCGCGCGTTTTCGATAGATCCCTTCGTACCCCGCGTAACCCACTGGTGCACCATATATCCATCACTGATCTCCACGTTGTTCTTCTTCGACCACGTGTAGAAAGATGGACGATTTGCTTCGCGATGCCATAGTAAACTACCAGGCTGAGCTTGTTTTTCTGGTTCCGAAAATACTCAAGAACTGTTATTGCGAGTTAAAACTGTATATTCCCCCAATTGAAAACTACGATAACTAGTGTACTAACCATAATATTAAACATTAACAGTCTTGCATGATAATTCCTTTATAGTATCAATTCGTAATATTGTCTTAGTAATTAGTTTGTGTATATTAGAACGAGGCAATAAGATCTGGTAAATAGGCAATAAGATCTCTGAAGAGTATTCTGCAATACTTCTATTTGTGGAAAGTGGTCGTGATGTGCTTTATAATATAAATTTTTTTCTCCCAGCGACACTAATTAATCATAATCTGTAAAACACCAATGTCCGGTTATGAGGAACATATTTACATATTACACCACATTTAAGCTCTCTATAGCATGGATTTAATCTATTAATGCTTATTACCTTAATCTCAAAATAACTACTCAGTGACTGCGTGTCCACGTATCCGCGTATCTACTAAAATATAGAGCTACCTATAGCATGAGAATTTGATCTAATGCTAATCTAATAGACTTGCCCAAGTCGCTCGCTAGGGACCGCGGGTAGCAAGAAGGGAGCGCTTGAGAAAGACGGAAGCGAGCGACTTGTGTCACTTGCCTGATTTTGAATCTTACTGAAAAATTTGGCGCGAAAATCAATTATGACATAGTGGGCGTTCACCATGTCGATTTCACTAGTTCATTATTGTTTTGTTCATAATAATAATGAGCGTTCACTGACGTCACCGGAGCAAAAATGCACCGGTGAATTTGGCGCGCTTGCGGGTGACAAAAGTCCGTCGCTTCCAGGAACTTCGGACTTTGGAAAGTCTACTAATCTAACTGTATGCCTCGTTCTCAAAATAACTACTTGACTGCGTATCCGCGTATCCACTAGAAGTAAAGCTACCTTTAACACCATGACAATTAATTTTAATCTAATATTAATGCTAAGTCACTGTACTCGTAGCTACCTTTACCGCCATGGGATTTTAATCTTTCAATCTATTTATTATTAATCTATTGAGAATAAATATAAATGTATTAATACATCGTATCCAAAAACAGTTACAAAAGTAAAGAAAAGCGAGTGGGAATGGCGAATATAACTTAACAAAATATGTCAGATGTCATCACCACACAAGATATGAAGCCACAATTAGATTTTGACATCTCAACCAAGCAATACAATATTTTGAAATCACTGGGAAGGCGCATCTAATAAGAAGAGTATCCGCTGAACGTTTTGTTTAAGGGCGCGGGTCAATGATGCGTCCGACTATCAATGAGGAGTCTGACTGTCTATGTGGCGCCTTGTGTAATTCCCACTTCCAAATTGTAAACACGTAAAAAGTTGGTCCCAAAATATTTTGGAATGTGCACCCAAAATGGAATGGAACACAAAATTTTTTAACATCCTCCCCCCAAAAGAAACTCAATCTTCTTCTGAAAAACGGTAGTAGACTATAGTGCTTGAAAATATCCCTGGTTTGTAGATGTAATCCGAAGCTACTGCATATTTGAAACTATTTTTTGTTATTTTACTTCATTACATATTTGAACTATACATCTAACTGAAAATTTCAATATTTTTTGGGCCCAATTACTGTAGTGCACCATTTCGTGCACATTCTAGGGTGTATTCCCTTTTAATTATGTGTCAAAGGTGAAGTTCAGCCCTTGTCAAGTAAAATGGTCCGGAATTAGACAGAGTAAAATAATAAAGCAGGGTGCATTATGGTACAGTACAAATCAGTGGGTTAACTGGATCAACCAAATGATCAACCAAATGAGCAGCAGTACCCTTGATGGGTAAAATCATCTGGCAATAGACAGAGTGATAATAATAAACCCGGCGTACTTAATCGATGAAATCGATGAGTATCGATATCAATCAAAACCAATCGATATTTATCAATCGATTGATATTGGAAATCGATGAATAATCGATGACTTCTTTTGCTGTAACTTTGATCGATTGATCATCAATTTATTATTAATTGTCATTGATGAAAAATCCTCCGTTAATAGGCATGCAACCAAACAGGTAACGCTGTAATTTAATTAATACGTACTTTAATGTCGTAACAAACTCAAATGTGAACGGAATTCAGCAACAATGGATTAAATTAAGTTTTCATTAGGCTATAATACAGATCAAATACATGAGTACATTCGAAAAATGAGAACAGATTTACTATTTAGCTCGAACACGCCAACACGTGGTGATTATTTAGGATATAAATCGATAAAAATCAAAAGCATTTTGTCGATAAAAATCGATGAATATCGATAATAATCGATAAAATTGGCTATAACATTTTGTGACTATCGATTGGCCATCGATTGACATTGGTCAATCGATATCAATTAAGTAAATAACATCGATTACCATCGATTGATCGATTTGATTTCCGATGATCGGTTTTTATCGATTAAGTATGCCGGGTAATAAAGTAGGGTGCATTAGGGTTCATTATTCAGCAATTGTAAGTGACATAATAATGCATAATGTGACATAATTGTTTGTGTGACAAATATTTCAAACTGATTAAAAATTATGTAGCATTTTTATAATGCCAAGTAAAGAACAAAATTCCCATACGGGTCTGATACGGCCATAGGAATCTAAAGGAATTCCTATATTAAAGACATAGTAAGTCATGCCAAAGATCTTTTACGTGACCTACTATAAATGCAGCATAGTTCACAACTTCACATTTATATAAAATAAATTCAATAAAAGGATACCAACAGCAAGTGTTTTATTTTCGAGTGATTCCAGAGTTATAGGACGCCCAACCGGCTCCAATAACTTCCAAAGACCATTTACTCCCATATCTTGAAAGTTGATCGCATTGGTGATCGAATACGTCCTTTCATACGCAAAGGAAAGAAAGGAGAATCACTTGAATAAGCTTAATACTAGCGACTAATGTTATTGATTTATTGTCCTTCCTTGGCCGCCATATTGAATTCAGCCGCGCAGAAGTCTGAGAACTACCTTTCCTAGTCGCAGGCTCGGGGGGGGGGGGGGCGACTGCCCCCTCCGCAGGCCCTCGTTGTCTCATGGGAAGGTCACGCTTTCGAGAGGGCCTGCAATCTCGTACCCAGAGCAATGCCTGTACGCGGGCTAGGATGGCATTGGCTCTGGGGAAATTGAAAACCGGAACCCCTAAATTCTGGGGTTCCGGTTGTTGTGAGCATGCTCAAAAGCCCCACCGCTTAAACACAGGGAGTGCAGACTGCAGACTCCAGCGTAATATTTATGTTTGGAAATCATATAATTTCATGGTACAATAATACAGTTTTCTGACATTGAAATGATTGAATACGTCGGGCTTGAATCAGAAAGGTATGGTTTAAAATTTATGAAATTTTTTATATATACTGGCTATATTCACCGCATATCAGTTTGTTTATATAACGTCTTATTATTTTTATAAGTTTTTCAAGAATTTGAGATACTGAACTTAATATAATAATTTATTAAAAACTGTTTTAAAATAAATAAACTTTTAAACTGGAAAACTATGATGAACGTTTAAACCAATCACAACACAGGAAAAAATCAATTTCCCCAGAGCCAATGCCATCCTAGCCCGCGTACAGGCATTGCTCTGGGTACGAGATTGGAGGGCCTGCGGAATCTTGTAAAATGAATAAATGTTGTTTTGAACCTGCTTCGTCGAAGAAGGCAGTTTTATTCGTGCAACGTTGGTGTGGACAACCATAGATATGGTCTCCTATATCTATGTGGGCAACAAACCTTATCGTTAAAAAATGCTTCCTTCCACATCCTAAGAGTCGCCAGTTTAATTTACAAGTTTCACGCCGCTTTTTTATATCTGTTTATGTTCAAGATTATGTAGAAATTTACTTGCTGACGTGACGCCGGCGCCATTTTTTTTACAAGATTCCGCACTCCACAGGCCCTCGCCAAATCGTGACCTTCCCATGACGCAACGAGGACCTGCGGAGGAGGCAGGGGGGGGGGGGGAAACTGTTTAAATAATAAAATTTCACGATTTTTTCCAGACTTGCCACAACATAGAAGGGTCTGGAAAGAACTTTGGAAAGTCTAGATTTTTTCAAAGTCTAGATCATTTAGCCTTTCTCACGATGACGAATATCCGCCATTTTTTGGTTGACATCTAATTCTCGTTAACCACTGCAAACAATTAAAACAATGCATATGTGAAAAGCAATTTCTCAAAATAAACTAACCATTTAGAAAGCAAATTTACCATCATTAGTCAAAAAATTATAAATAGTCGCTGTTATGTGGACTTATCTCGCAGACTTCGGTTGAAATCAAAAGCCACCCAAAACTGGCGGCGTGAGAAAGGCTAATTCTCGACCCTATCGCGCAAAGCAATTCTTGGGTTTCACAGTGAATCTGACGGGGGGTCAACCTCAAATGTGTTGATGCTTATGCTGTAATGGAGTGAGAAAATGATACGAAATTCCATGTATTTGCCACTAAACACAAGGCTAATACATAAAATGAACAATCGACTCACTCTGATAACCGTGTTTTGTTTTAGAGTTGACTCCCCCCCCCCCGTCACTTCTGTGTTTGCGATTTTCAAACATCTTTAGATCTCACAGCCACGTGGTAAAGGTGCAATGTTTTATATTTGTTTGTTATATATTCAAAGTCTATTCTCGTTCGTGATTGGTCAAAACGCGTCGGATAATTCTCGCTTAGCTCGAAGCTGTTGCGTTATTTCAGCTCTCTGATTTCAGCTGCTGACGCCATCAGCGTGCAATAATACTTTTTTTGGACCGAAATTCGGTTAAAAAAATACTATTGCACGCTGCGGTTACCAAGCCCCTGTGCGGTCCATTGTTCGCTAAAAAGTGCGCGAAAATCCCATATTTTTAAAAGCGTAAACAAAATGGCTCAGCTTTCTTTCTAGTTTTTGAATACATGATAAAACGATTATTCACATTCGTTTTTCGTATCATATCGAGAATTATCAAGGTCTCGGTTTGTGTTATCCACCTCAGCAGTGGTGCCTAAATTACTTTGAATTTGTACTTGATCATGAGTAAAAGTAGAAGTATACTGATTAACAATAAAACGACTTGAGTAACTGTAAAAAGTACTGGAGGCAAAACGTACTTAACTAAAAAGTACAAAGTATCCTTAAAAAATACTTGAAGTAAAAAGTAAACTGAGTACTATTATCTGTATCGTGTAGGGGGGGGGGGGGGAAGG